GTACTAAAATCAATCATTATCTTTAAGTTATCGTCACGAATTTTTCTGTCAGTTTAATAAGTAGTGAGTTGAATGTAGTAAAAATATTCCACTCGGTAATTGTAGCCTTGTCATAATCCCCGAATATTTTGTCCACATGAACAGCAGAGCCCATAAACTATTGCATGTCAAATTGAGCGTTATGCCAACAATTCCTACATGATGCTACTACTTTACAAGAGCATAAGTTACCTTGTCTCGCCGATGGTTGTGTGCCCCACGAATGACATGAGTAGGCTTTCGTGTCGAGCTGTGTCCATCCCAATTTACACTTGCAGTGATGCATGCGATACAGCAAACATCACCTCAAACGAAATAGGGTGAACACAGCAAGCAAAGTCAACTTTAGAACAGACTACTTACTACATTCTAACTGGACAGTAGTATGGATTATCAGTCGCTCTTCCACATGTGCGCACACAGGCAAACAACTTTTCGGACAATGTTGCTTTCCATTGGTGTCTTTGCCAAATGGGAAAATGGGCATTTCTATCCGATCTCCTCCCAAAGAGACCGGCAGCAATGCCTCATCTGCACCGGCTCAGAGCGCGGCTTCAAAGTGGAAATGCCGAACAAAGTGTACCTTGATCCGAAAAGTGGTGGGCCCTGGAGTGAACACATGAAGCAAGTGTACACGTTCTAATCTCTTCTTTATACGGGCTTGAACCTGCCCTATTGTCCCACCGTTGCCGACCGCGTCAGGAGCGTTGAAAGCGTAGATATGAAGACCAAGATGTTGTGGTCTCTAATTCGGTCGCAATCTCCTTTCGATTCTGGATACGAAGATAAACTTGGTTTCGATGAGATAACAATGTTATGGGGATCTTCATTTCGAATGAAAGTACATTAAGAAGATCCAGCAAGATTTTCTCTTGAATTATCAGTTCTTGAGGATCAGAACAGGAGATTTGATCTTTGACAAGTCTGATTTAGGAACCGTATTGCATATAGACGCTAATAAACACGCAAATATGCATTCTTATACAATCGAGCAAAAATAACAGAACGAACATGCAAGAAAATTAACCAAACTACTCTATATCGATCTGTCGAGATTTGTAATTTTTAAACTATTGACTCGACTGAGAGTATATAAGTAGTAAGATGAAGCCGGATAGTGTTCTTGCTTTAGTGTTAACGTGAAACTCTTACAAGAATGAAACCCAGCTCTGATGATGTCCAACAGTTGATGGACGAAAGGTCTGCACGTTTTCACCCGAAACGAGAGAGGAAGACTCGTGGACCGCGTCAACATGAAAATAATATAAAAGTTGAACGGCTGCAGTAAAACGATTTTCATTCGTCCTCATCTGGTGAGATCGAAAAACGAATCTCTTCTTCATGCACTTTCATTCGAAATGAAGGTCCTCCTTTCGATTCGTTTCGTTTAGTTTCGTTTGTTTCGTTAAGTTGCCCTGGCAATACGAGTAAATTGGGAAAAACAGATATTAGACCACTTGTACGAGAGTGTTGAAACCTTAAACGAAGCAAGTTGGTCGCCTGCACTCCCACTTAATGCACCCAATTTCACAACCATAAAGCGGGCTCGTTCATGCTTCGCCTGCTTTGGTGCACCATCTCGTCCCGGGACGCGAATAAGCAAAACTTTTCGCCTGCACGACCTGCGCAAAATGCAAAGCCTCGCCATTTCAGCATCCGAGACGATCATGGGAGAGTACAAGTTGTTGCCCACGGCTTGGTCGGTGCGTGATGAGCGCCAATTTGCGATTGCGGCATGCTGACAAGGCGGCGATGAAGCTTGGATGGCGCTGGCGAAGCCATTGGAAGTGCCTCGTCGAGGTGCAAGTCTTGCAGCCGTTTGTCGACTTGCCGTCTTTGCGTCATTCCGTTTTTCCGTCTTGCCGGGCCGATCTGGCGGCCCACGGACCGACTGCTCAGTTGAGAAAGCGAATGAGCCGACTGGTCGCGTTTGTCATTGCCGGTTTTAGCCGGCACGGTTCGCCAAGTGGACCGCAGCGTCGTATCGGCGAGGACCCACGACTGGATCAATAAAGCCCTGCTTAGCCGGGCCAGTGGATAAGAGGGCACGTGCTGTTTAAGTAGCCTCGCTCTGTCTGAAGCTCGCTCACTCAAACACTACGGGCGTTTGTGCCTACCTGCGTGGCTACGTGCCTGCGTGCATGCCTACACTTCTGTCCGCCTGCCGGCCTGACGGCCCGGCTGCATACCCACACGCCGATGGACCCACCGATATAACAAACGTCCTTTCCGTGCGTGTCTGGCTGCAGAGATTGCGTTGTGGCTGCATGCATGAGGCCAAACAGTCTCGAGGCCTT